GACAACATCTCCAGTTCTGCTACACTGAATTTGATCCTTTTTGTTTGACTGTCTATTGTGAGTCTGACTGTTGTCACAAATGTGGCGATCGGTTTGTGTGTTTATTACTTCAGTGGAAAGTCATAGTAACTGCTGCTGCTTGCTGAGAGTGACAGCACCATGGATTGATGATGTTAGGCAGTGGCACCCAGTTACTACTCATTAGTTAGACATTTGTTATGACAGTAGCCAGAAATAGAGAATGTAGAAAGAGAGAAAATGGACCACAGGTGATAAATACTGTGTAATTCTACTGTACTAGCTAGCTAGCATAATCAGTCAAGAATTGCATTTAATCATCACCGACCAGTTATATTAGTTAAAAATGAAGAAATACAAATTCATGTTTTTTTTAATAGGTATACATATTATTTAATTTATCACCAGGTATTTGAACATCTTGGTCCTCTGCACACTCAGGGAACCCATGTAAAGTGTATCAGACTGGGGAACTCCTCATGAAGTAAAGGCTTGTGTGTTTCATATTCAGTTTTTTTTCCAGAGTTTAAGTTTGACACTACTGCAGCTGACAACAGCAACGATTCTTCCCAATTTCATTGATATTGCTGTGAAAAGTATGTTACATAGAAAACTAAAGGGAAAAGAGGAAACTGTACACTTCTTAGGACAGCTTGCATTCAGACACGTGCATATTGACAGGAGAAGCCACCACAGTAATGGCGACTTGTTTACTTTTTCTCAGCTAAATGCCTAACCCCAACCCTTACCCTAAACTGCCCTTTGAAGGTCCAGCCCAGAGTGAGGACCAACCAAAATGTCCTCATTTTGCAAAAGTGTCCTCATTACCAAAGTCCTCACAAAGATAGACGTACAAGTAAACACACACACATGCTTAAACCTTGGGTCTCTTTACAATCTGCAAGCTTTCTTGCTTTGGTACGAAATAAATTTTCTGTTTGACAACGGTGAATATTGTGCCTCCAGATCAATTTAATTGCACTCACTCACACACACACTCCCTCCTTCTAGTTCATATGTTGGAGCTGGCGTGTCAATGTGGAGAGGTAATTATTTGCTTGGCCAGTCTGAGCCCGCTCTGAGTCTCAAGGACGGACTCGCCTGCAGCTACAGTACCAACCAACACTCCCGATTACACAAACGGAAACAGGCAGTGAGAGTGTGTATAACCCTGTGTGTGTGATGTATGGGCCGTGACTTGAATAAAAGTGTGTCCTTGTGTTTTCATGTGTATGCATGCAGAATGTATAGTGGGTATATGTTTGTGTGTGTGAGTGTGTGTGGTGGTGGTGGTGGGTATATGTGTGTGGGCATATGCGCACAAGTCATGATGTGTGTATGCCTGAAAGCGTATATAGAACAATGGCTCTTGCTGCGTCGTCCCTGCAGGTCTCCACCTCAGGGAATCACAGCCCCACCATTATATACACAAACACACACACACACACACACACACACACACAACACATTCCCCTTGGTGTCACAATATAATAGCAGGGATGGGGAGCAGGAAATTGAGGTTGGTTGGGAAGGAGATTGGGGAGAAAAGGGGAGAGTGCGGGTGGGGAGGAAAAGAGGGAGGAGAGGGTTTCAAAACTGAGTACAGTGAAGGGAAGGACAGGAAGACAGAAGGGAAGAGAGATTGGAAGAAGGCCATCGGAGGATGAACATCAGTCATGAGAGATGAGCTGATCATCACAGACGGGCCAGACAGATAATGTTTCACTTTCTGGCCCCATAAAATCTTTTACGACAGCTCTCCCCAGATGACTGCTACCTGTTTTTATTTGGCTCTATATTTGTATTTGTGTGTGTATGTGTGTGTGTAGTTGAATGCTCATAGAATACAAAGTGTGCATAAATGGGATTGCGTGCTTCCCATTGCTTTGTGTGTGTGTGTGTGTGTGTGTGTGCATGCATGCTTGTATGTGTGAATGCACATAAACAGGATGATTATCGAGTGTGAAGAGTGTGTGAATGGGATTTCATGCATTTTCTTGCATGTGTGGGTCTGTGTGTTTATAAGTGTGTTTGTGTGTGTGTTTTTCCAGAGTGCTGTATACAGCCATAAAAGACTTTTGAGTGATAGCCTTGGACTACCACAGCCAAGAGACCAATAACAGTAGGCGGCTCAAGGAGGCTTCTGCCAAGTGACCAATGATTAGATCCAACTGAAGGAGACCAGAGCTGAATGGCCCGTCATTCCTCAGCTTCATTTGCCCTCAGAGCCCCATTTTCAGCCTCCCCCAGTAACAGGACGGCATTTCCATCGTGAGTGTTGCAGAAATGCTTTCGGTTTACTCTCTGGATCCTTTGTTTTTAGAGTTGTGTGCAGCTCTTGGAGGGAGAACAAACTCCTGGTTGGAAATTTAAAAAGGCAGCATTATGAAGGTATCCAAATAACCCATTAATACTGGGGCTCTTAAACAGCGCGTGACATCCACTCTCTTTACCCAAATAACAGGCTGATGTAGACACATTACCACTCCTGTTTGGTTTGGCTGCACCAACCAGCGACAGGGAGTGTGGCCAAATCTCTCTGGATGCAGAGTTTATTAGAGAAGAATTAACAGTCAATAGATATATGAGACAGGTACATAAATGAATATTTTAGTAGGAGTTTAAACAAAAAAAAGAATTACTGCACACCAGAGTCTATTTAAACCTTTGATAGAGCTTCTGCAGGCACTATGAAGAGATAGGATGTGAATATCACACAGACATTAAACATGTAAGCAACATTCTTCATACTAAACACGATAACGCCGCTATCTGAAGATCTTCCTGCATGGGAGAAATAATGTGTGTTTATTGTGTCACAGCTCACATTTCCATCTTTTAAAGGTGATAACAAAGTCTGTTTGTGGTCGGGAATGTATCAGCTCTACGGTTGGCCCTTTTAACCAAAATACCAAATCATCCCAAAACAGCGAGATGTGTATTTAATCTGGTTCACCGTGAAATCTCTGCTCTGGCTCTTTGTTATCTCTTCGCCTTGATGATACTGCTTCAGCTTGTTTTCATGCTCCCTTGCAGACTTGCAGCCAGTGTGTGTGTGTGTGTGCGTGCGTGCGTGTGTGTGTGTGTGTGTGTGTGTGTGTGTGTGTGTGTGTATTGACTTTGTAGTATTGATCAAATAGAGCAGCAGGGTGGTCGTGCACTTAGTTGTCAGTACACCCTGAAACTGAAGAAAAAGCCAAGTGTTTCTCAACAATCTGGCAAACAAAAAGTAAAAAGTTAAATCGGCCATATTCATCTGCTCCATTCAGTCATTTATTTATGGAAAAAATGAGTCTCCAGGCCTCGCTGTTAAAGTCTCGGTGGCCAATTTATGAGTAACAATCTCCCGTCTTGTGTAATTCACAAACTGACCTCGGCTGTTTGACTTATTGATTTTTGCCACAGTGGAGCTCCTAAAGCGTCCCTCCCCTCCTGTTGGTGGGAGTCCATCCAGAACACACTGTGCTCCGGCTCCGTGGCTCCGGCTCATCCGGCGGTCGTCCCTGGGGTTGCTGCAGAAAGGTGTGGAAGGTTCTGGCTGGTTGGTCTGCCTGGGTGGCCCCCTGGGCGCCTGGATGGGATGTGCTCCCCACAGGACCCCGCTCCCACTGATCATTATTGTCTATGAATAGCTGCTGCATTGCAGATGGAGGGAAGAGGGAGGAGAAGGAGAAGGTAGATGGGGAATGTCGTAATGGGTTGAGGAGAGCAATGGTTTGTAGAGGAAACAAGGGAGAATAAGGAGGTGTGTGCGCATGTAGGGGAGGGACAATTTAATTTTCAAGGACACTCAGGTCCCCCACTGTGGTGATTTGAAGTAATGCTGGTTATTTTCTGTTTTCAGTATCAGCTCAAATAACAAAATCGACACGCCGGCAGCCAGGTTTCTAAACAAAATGTGATTGTTAGGAGGCAGTGAGACTCACAGAGAGGCTGAGAGGACTGAGGGAAGACAGCCAGACACTGGAGAAATGAAGATGATAAAGAGGATGTGTCCACTGCCTCATTACATTTCAGAGGCTTTGATTAACATATAATGATTGCTGTAGCCTGTTCACTATGCATTTAAACACAGTCACAGAGAGGTTTTAAGGAGCACACTGCATTTATTTACCTTAACCAAAAATGCTGTATGCCTAATCCATAACCCCAAATGTAAGGGTTTCTCTCCTGAGGGTGTTTTTGACCTCTTTAGGTGAATCTTCATGTGACTGTGTGGTTACATTTATGAGAGTAATACAACTATAGGGCGGCATCTGGGGATTATTTTTTATTCTTGATTAATCAATTAAAGTTTTAGTCAATTAAAAGCTGGAAAATAGAAAAAGGCCCAGTGCAACTTTACACTAGTACCACAGGTGACATCTTCAACAATCCTAAAACCATAGATAATTTAATTTACAGAAAGCAACACAACTTCACATTGGAGGCTGTTTGGTTGAAAGATATTAATACAGAAAATAAATCTGTAATTATTTTTGATAATCTATCAACTACAAACATTAATTGGTTCCAGGATGAGCAGATTGTCTTTGTTTAGCTTTATGATAGTAAACTAAATATCTCTGATATCTCTTTCTCTTGTTGTCAGACAAAACAAGCAATATAAAGATGGAAACTGTAACAGACATTTAAGACATAGCCTTTCATTTCATCTCCAAACAATCTCTCATACAAATAGAGAAGATAAATCTCGTGCCCTATAGGCTATATCGGCTATGTGCCAGACAGACTATTATTGATTGATTGCTGAATGATGATGATGATGATGATCATTCCTCTGTACTACAACATGTCTGTGGCTGCGCTGCGTTATTTGGCAGAAATGTGACATTAATTTGTCCTCGTGGCAAATGTTTGTGGTTTGGTTCGTGCATGAAACGGTTTTGGCACAGCCGTTAAAACTCTGTGTAGCCCCCCCTCTCTCTCTCTCTCTCTCTCTCCCTCCCTCCCTCTCTCTCTCTCTATATACTCCGCTATAG